AGGCTAGAAAAAAATAATCTCCCACAACCTGACCGAGCTTCTCAGCAGCAGGAGAGAGCTGACACAGCCAGCACGGGTGGATTCTAGAAACCTCCCTCCTAACAACAACCTTCGTGTTGCAATTACAGCGGAAAGGTTAATTCTGAAAGAGGAAAGTATTTAAGGGTTTGCCAGCTGAGAAATAATAACACAGCAGAGCAGATTTTCTCGAACGAGGCAGTCTGGCGTAACAGCAGGCAGAGGTGTGCTCTTGTTAAGAGGTGATCCTTGGGACCCACAGTATCAGCTCGATTCCCACCCTGCCATTGGTGGGGTACTGACTGGCCATGTGGAAGGGCATCGGGGAAACAGGGACTCTGCCCCCCGTAATCATTCAGGGAGCCAGGCTAATGTGTCTTTAGGCAGATTTCTTAATCTCTTTGAGCCCCACTTTCCCCATCTGTAGAATGGAAGTAATAGTAGTACCTGTCTCATAGGATTATTGTGAAAAATAAGTGATTATGTTTACAAAATGTTTGGCTTAAAGCATGTTATTTCCCCCTCTAATGTGTTCTAAAGGCTATTTTTGCATAGCCGGGTACCCTCCTGATATCAAGGTATTCTGAACATCAGTGTTAGGTATGTGGATCTGGTACCTTTTCAGGGGACTCTGTGGCACATTCGAGAGCTTGGTGAAGTTTTCTTAAGCATCACTGCCGTCTCTTGAGAGAAAAAGAAAAAAAGAGAGTCTGCGATGCCTCAATTACATTTCCTCTTCCCATGTGCTATGTTTGTAATGTCAGAACCAGCCATGGAAGGCTGTCATTCCAAAACATGTTCTTAATGTCACTCTCTGCCTAAGGCCCACAGTCCCATGCAGGAAGTCCCCAAAATGTGCCACCAGCAGCAATACCACCATCAGCAAATTCATGACGCAAGTGTGTGCTCAAGTGAGTCTGAAAGAGGTTTGCTAATAAATAGGTTAGAGAAGGATTCGCACGTAATTTCTCTTCCCTCGGGACTACTGTCACTTCTATGGTTCCAGTTTCACAGAGACTGGAGGTTGCTTCCTTCCACCTTTTGCTATCTTAAACTCTTCCGCTTCTCCCCTGAACTGCCTGTGCTCATCAGAGGAATCCAGCCTTTCTAGTATGCACCCAGTCTTGTCCTCTCCAGCAAGCCTGACTTTATGGGGGCGTCAGGCAAAGAGTAATAAAGGGAGCGGAGGAAGCTTACAGTCCGTTCCTGGGGAAGTGAGGAGTAGCCCCCGGGTCTCTCTCCATGCCTGGGTCCTCTCTCTCCCTCCTCTCCTCCCCCTCCTCTTCCTCTCCCTCCCGTTCCTCCCCTCCTCGTCCTCCTCTGCTATCTCCCCCTTCTCTCTGTCATTCTCACTCTTGACTTCTCTCCCCGCCTGCATCTCTCTGTCCTTGGCTGCCTTGCAGTAGGCGAGGCCCTGCTGGCCAGAGAAGGAGTCATGGTTGGGAGTTGAGTGGCTGCAGGAGCTGTCAGGCACCATGGCACAGCCATGGAGACAGAGTGTTCACCCTGCTGTGTACTTAGGCAACACCCTTTTGTTGATGGAACTAAAGGTCCATTCAGTCCAGTTCTCTTCCTCTGCCTCCCTTGCTCTAGAACAGTCTTTAGTGCCTGTTAGGGACTGTGTGCTTGCTGCCCACGGTCCTCCTCAAAGGAAGATGCCAGCAGGAAGAGCTACACGTGAGCAATTCAAGGGAAAGCAGATGGATACTTGCAGAAAATGGTGTGTAGGACCTCATTTTTCCTTGTGTTTTCAGGAGAGAAATGACAGGGAGTGTTTTTCTTCAGCTTGCTTTTCAGACGCTTTCTCCTGGAATGCTGTGGCTTTTTTTTTTTTTAATGTAAAAACTGAGCTCAGGGTCCAAAGTCCAAGCTGGCATAGGCAGTCATCATGATGCTCTTGCTCTCCCTAGTGGTGCTACGATGAAAACTCGGCTTTTCAGCCCCTCACCTGTATCTTTCCTCCAGGTGTATTTAGAGATGACACCAGCCTGCCCCCCTCATGCACGTGGGCATCAGGTGTCATATCATTTGAGCTGGATTAGCGCACGCCTCTCCCTGACAGGAGTATACAAGGCTGCAGTATCCTAGTCTCCAGCCCCTCTCAGTAGCCCTGCCTCTCTTCCTCCAGCCAGTTATAAGGACAAGTAGCAGATACGCAGGTAACTCCTTGAAGACTTCAGTGTCCTCAACAGTCAGCTTTGCCCCAAGGGCAAAATCCAGCCCCAACTCAGGGAAAGCACTGGACTGCAGGCCTGGCTCCTTGACTGTTCTTGGCTGTGACCCCATTTACCAGGATTTGAAATTCTAAACATGCCCTGGATACATGCTGGAGAGTTCTGTGAGTAAACTTTGTGAGCTAGGTCAGCAGGCTGGGCAATGTAGGGATGAGGCTTTCTGCTCCCTGGAGAACTGTGAACCAATGCTACAGACTTTCCATCTCCCAGCTTACTCTGTGCCTGTGGATCCTCTATAAAGACCATCTAGAAGGCTGAGGAAATCAGGCTATCCCTAAAGCATAGACTTGCAAACACAGGCACCCATCCCAAGTCAGCATGCATCTCCCCAGCTCTCTCTCTCTCTCAGACAATGAACTTAGATGGTGGAGGAGGCAGAGTACTTTCCTTTTGTCCGTGTGTGTGTGTGTGTGTGGTGCTACTGATACCATCGATTCATGTTCTCCTGTTCTGAGAAGATACATAGGCTTCCAAAAATACATAGTGTGTCAACTCTGGGAAGGATCTAGCGGCTTTCGTTTGCCTAGTTCATACATTATATTTTAATGTTTCGTAGCTTTTAACCTTTTATTGAAATATAATAGCTGTACAGAAAAGTGCACATAGCAGAAAGGGAGCAGGTGAAGAACCAGTCTTGCCAGTGATGAAGCCCCTTGTCCCCTCTCAGTCACAGCCCGTTCCCGTTCCTCCCACCTTCCTGGGGGAATCACCACCCTGACTGCTAACAGTTTTTGTTTTCTCCCCGCAGAAATGAAATCATATAGTATGTATCTTACGTCTGGCTCTTCTTACTCGACATCATGTTTGTTTCCTGTAGTTGTAGATCCTTCATTTTCATTGATGTACACCTTTGGTCCTCATGTTTTGATAATGTATTTTCTCCAAAGAATTGGGTTCTCTCCTTCCACCCTTTCCCAGCTGCCTCTGCTTCCTCTTCTTTTAACCGGCCTCTCTCTTCCTGCCTCATCAGTGTAAGTTTTAAAAGGCAAAAGAACTGGAGACAATTGAGAGGTCCACGGCATTATTTAGTTTGGCCAAAGGATGGTAGAAGGCGCCCAGGCAGATGCTTCCTGCAGAGCAGCCCCAGGGAGGGACAAGAGGCTCTGGGTTCACCTGAATGTGTTTGGCTGATGTGTTTCTTTTCTTCTTCCTAGGTGTGCCTGAAGCTGAAGTCACTTGGTTCAGGAATAAAAGCAAACTGGGTTCCCCTCCCCATCAGCATGAGGGCTTCTGGCTGCTCCCGAATGTGTCCTCCTCGGATCAGGGCCTGTACTCCTGCAGGGCAGCCAATGTTCATGGACAGCTGACTGAGAACACCCAGCTGCTGATCCTAGGTAAACACCTCGGAACAGCTGCCTCTGGTGGACCCTGTGGGGGGCGACTGTCTAACCTGCCCTGTTCCTCCTTTTTTCCCTGATCAAACTAAGGACATCAAAGTATCTGTATCCCTTTACTTCTCCTCACTTTAGGGCCTTCCAGTAGTAATAACGCAGACTTTGGGGCCAGGCCGACATGAGCTTGAACCCTGACCCTACCTCTTACTAACAGTATGGCCTTGGGCAAGTTACTTCACCTGGCTAAGCCTTAGATACCGGTCGCCTGTGAAGCGAGGACAGCCCACCTTGCAGCAGGCAGCCAGGGTGTCAGATAGAGGTAACAGAAGTAAAGCGCTTATTCTTAACTCCTGTGTTAAAGACTTCTTTCAGAATCAGATGAAAACTATGGATTATCCCTCTAGAAATATTCATACATGCAAAATTCTTCATAGAATTCCAGGAAGTTCATAGTCTAGTCTACCTCAAGTGTCCACATGCACCCCCAAACATAGGAACCCCTGATTAAAGAGTCTAGCATGGCTCCTGGCATAAACTAGGAACTTAAAAACAACGCGACGTGCTGGGACGCCATCTCCACGTGATGTTGTCCAGTGCTGGACTCAGCCAAGTTGCCAGTTACAGCCTTTTTTGCCACTTGGACTAGGGCCACTCTGCATTTTCTCCACTGAGTCTGGGGGATGGCAGGATACAGTAAAAAATCACTTTTTTTTTCTGGCTTACTCAAAAAAAAAAAAATTATTAGAGAACTTATTTTAGCTTTCTCACCAAGAGAAAGCTGTTATTCTAAGGGGAAAAAAGTGAGCAATAGTAATTACATGCTACGCATACATACATACACATACATTATGCATTTCTTCAGGGAAAAATAATTAAATGTTACACTACTATTTTCACACCCAAAGTTGATGATACTAAAACATAGGTTCTCTATGTTTTGAAATCTGCTCACTCAGATTTCAGAGAGGCCCAGATGGGTTTTCATCTCACTGATGGCTGCATAAACATCCGGCCATCTTAGGAAGCCACAGAAAATTGGCTCAGAGAAAGATGTCATTTGTTTTGCGTTGGGTTTCATCCAACCAAGCTGCTAATCTGGAGCCCAGGGACTGTGGCCCCACACTGAGTTATGGTGCTTACTGATGAGATTTTTCCTCCCTAATAACCCTTCCCCATTGCCTTTGCTAACAAAGTTGAAAGTCTAAGATGTGAGGCTGCTACTGTGTCCTCGCCAATGAAGTGTGCGTGTCTGTGAGAACCAGCTCACAGAACTCTAATATAGTGTGACCGTGAACATGGTATTGGAAGAGCACAAAGTCTTCCCATTCTAATCAAACTTGCTGGGAAAAAAAAATCACTGTTAAGACTCTTAAGTTGAGGACTTTTCTTGGCCAGGCTTAGTTTAGTAATCAGAGTTTGTTAGTTTTTAATAGGCACTTTATGAACATAGAA